TATTGAAGATAATATCAAATCAATATTATCTTGATTTGATATTATCTTAATTTGATTTCCATATTTCTCAAATCACTTTGATTTGATTTTATTCTCATAATATTTACCTTTTCTATCAATGTAATTTCCCTATAAATAGGGACATATGCTTTGTATTCATTAATCAATCAATTCAATAAAGATGTAGACATTCAATGGTCTCTTGCTCTCTTCTCCATCTTCTTCTTCTACATTATATTTCATTTTCTATCAAGATTTTACTCATTTTAGTAGTACGCTTTACCAAACATTCAACTATTTTCTTTTTCTTGGCATTCGGGTTTTCAACTTTGTAGCACAATGATCCCCAGTGACAAGAGAATGTCAGAATATGATCCCATATGGTTTGAGTGCAAGAAGAGTGAGGGGTCCCCTAAAATTATTATCTATCATGAATGACAACTTCCATTCGATACAACTAATAACTTTCTTGGACAGGTCGACACTCTTCAAGGAAGAAAAAGAAATTAAAAATCTTGTGTCTCTCCTAATGTTTCTCGGTTAAGTACAATGACAATGGCCACACTAGACTATACCTAAGTAAGAATGATGCTTCAATGTTATACCAAAAAGCAGCAGATTTGGTGTTAAATCAGCCAAGTATAATCTAAGAGCTAAACCAAAGGGGGATAATCTTGTACTAATTTCAATGACACACATGATCTGTTCGTTTGTGTAACAACGTAAGGGAAGAAGGAATAGCTTGGCCAGACAGTATAAAAAAAGTTACGTTCTTACTTCTTACCCTTTTATAAGGAAACACAATACGAAAATAACGGAAGGGGTTTAGACTATAATTCTTCGGGTACTTCCAAGGGTTGTATCTCCGGTATATCAGCAATTGCTTCGACTATGGAAGACTCTATCACGGGTTGTAAGTGCCTTGTGTAATGGAACTCAATTTGTAACCGATGATGAAGAGGTGTTGATGCCATCAATCCCTTTTTCAGATCAACTTGCAATTCCCTCAAAGGGATTGCAGCCAAAAAGCTCTTAATGTACTCTTTGCACGACTCTTTTCCGGTGCAGACTATCTTCTGTTCTTCTTCACTATTTCCTTGCACATTACTGCTGCTGATAGTAATTTGTCCTTCGCAACTGCCCTCCTGCACTTCCTTTTTCTCATCGGTTATATGTTCACTGTCTGATTTTTTAGGCTCGATACGTTGATGGATGGTTGTATCTCGATCGAATTTCAAGATGAATGCTTGATTGCAGCCCTCATAAAGCCTCTCACCCAATGTGTCGATGATGTAGTATGAATCTTGTTCGACCTTTAAGATGAAAAAGTGGTCGTTCCAGCTAATAATGTAAACTAATGGGTCACCAGTCAGAGAGCAATGCATGTCAGTTTGACAAATCTCATCCCAAATGTTGTCAAATGACATCGCGCCATGGAGGAAATCACAATCTCCATTTTCTAGTCCTTCTGGATGGAAGAAGCCAATGAAAGACTTCTCCGGTGCAACAGAAATTGGACGAACTTTAGACTGGAGAACTGTATCCAGGTCAAAATGCTTGTCTGGGAACCTTTCCCTATAGGTCTCGTTTTCACAGAGATTCCTCCACTCTAGTGAACCTTCACGGATCAGGCTGTCGAGTTGGGATTTGATCGGCATTTCATCAGAGTTTGATTGTAACCAATCAGCAATCACGGCTACCAGGGTTGTACATGCACTTTCAGGACGACGAGAAAGTGAGGAAACTACAATCGAAGCAAAGAAAACTTGTGTTTGTAACTTCATATGTCCATCGCGACTGATTATCTCTTTCTGCTCCCAGTTACCCACAGCAAAATTGTCATCTCCAAATGCAGAGGCAGATAGCATATTTGCAGCATAACCTTCTTCGGTTTTCTGGTGCAGTCAAATGGATAGACTTTGTCAGAAGCAAGTCCTACATTTATCACAATGTAATGTAATGAAGGAATAAAAGAACGCCACGAGATGGAAGCATACCCCGAAAGTGGATTCATCTGACGAACTAAGTAGCCGGCGATCAAAATCAATATCATCCCCACCTTCCTCCCCATAATATTTTTTCAGCAAGGGCTCTCCTTTAACTTTAGGAGATCTGAAGCTTAGTTTCCTTGTCCTCCAGGGAAGGATTCTACGTTTTGAAGTTGGCTGGATGGACTGATCAAACATTTTCCCTACATCTGACTTGCTATAGCTATAGTAGATCCAGCCCTCGTCTTCACTACTGCTCGTGTTTGAGTAACTTGCCGTCCCAGCATGATTTGCATAGGCCAAAGTTCCATAACTGAACGACTTCTGACCACCGGAATCTTCCTTCCCTTCGTCTGAGTCCCCTTCTTCCGAGTCATCAAGTGATTCCGTATCAAGTGGGTAAATTTCCTCGCTTCTGACCGAGCTCCTTCCATCACTGCCCTCCTCTTCGTTACCTGTCTTTTTAGCCCTTCGGCTAGATAAACCCATAAAAATATTCACTCTTTTCAGACTGGCTTTGAGAATGGAATTCTCTTCTTTCTCTGTTGGGGAGATTTCTCCATAACAGGGCGAAAGAGGAAAAGAAACAACTGGTCTCATTATCATTCCTGAAGGTTCCTCGGCATTCCTCAATTCTAGAAGGATGATGGTCAGCTGCAAATGAATGCAACTCTTGGTAAAACATACATAGAATCAAACAGAACAAATATATATGCAAAACATTGATAATTTGTTTGGTAAGGTGGACTACACGTTGTACCAAACACTCTTGACGAATAGGATCACACTTAACAGATAAAGAAAAGATACCAATGGTGCAGGTGTCTTACATAAAGTAAAGGCCTATTATCAAAGCTGGCACCAGGCATATCCATGGGAATCGTGACTTCTCTGTCCTGGTTTTCTACATGAGACGTAAAGTCTGCAAGGTTCAACATTCCAGTCGCAATAATAGGGATCCTGCCATTTGTTCCACGCTTCGAGCCCTAATTTATAACAACAGATCAGTATTCGGATCTTCAAAGGGATAAACCATCAGCATATTCACATGGTTTATGAAGCTGACTAGTTCAACCAATTCCCCCTGTGTTGAGTTTGACATAATCACTAAAGCAGGGTATATGCCATGTCCTAATGAACAAAATCGACCAAATTGTGGAACAGAATATAACGGTAATTTTTATCTTAAAAAAAAAAAATCAAGCCCACAACCCAAAACCTGGGTAGGATCAATCTCCCAAAGGAATTGTCAACCACAAGATCAAAAGCCCCACACTAAGCACAAGTTGGTACACAGTATAGTACTAGACAGTAGTGGAGCGTATAGTGACAGGGTTTGAACTTTTTTTTTCTTCTTTATTGTAGTCCAGCAACCTTACCAAACATGCCATAAATTTATGCGTATATTCCGACTACGTGAACTAGAATGAAAAACCAAGAACCAAATTCTAGTAAACTGCAAGAGAATGAACCTGAAATAATAACTCAACAATTCAATAACAACCCAAAGAAATCATCCTATTAATTCCAAATTTTACCGAACAAAAACTTACGAGCTCAAGGGATCAAACCTTTTTCCTCCCAAAGGTCAAAACTAGAGAAATATGCTTGATCATTCTATTGAAAAAGAAAACCAAGAATATTTACCTCAATTTTTCCAAAAACAAGATCTTCTATTAGCTTACTTTAAACGTCGCGTACTAATGAATTTATCATCATGATCTTCTCAGCAATAAATGCTAAACCAATTAAGTTAAAAAAAAAAAGTCAAACAGCATTAATTAACACCATCCTCAAAACTCAAATCCATCAAAAACAAAGAAAATCTCAGTTGAAAACTCACATTAAAAACAGTAAATGAAACTTCCCAAGGATGAAACAAACCCTCCTTGTAAGCTAACAAATTGCACACATTCTGAAACTTTTCATTCCATTCAACAACTCCATCTTCTTCTAAAGTTTCCTCCTTTGTGAAATTCCTCCTCACACTTCTTCTAAAAGTCCTGAAAGCATTGGCCTTTGACCCTTTCCACTTGATCTCAACCACAAATCTTGCAGAATCTTTGAGTTGTGATGCTATGATTAGGTCCTTAATTTGATGAATGGTGATCTTGGCCTCAACTTTCTTGGATGAAATGGAAGGCCATGGCCTCCACTTCATCATCTTCACAACCATTCTTCTTCCTTTTTCCCTAAAAGATTATAAGTTGAATAAAAACTTGTTGACTTTTGATGATCAAGGATGAGGTTCAATCTGTTGAAAGTACATAAAAAGTTTATAAATTTGGATGGGATGGGTGTTTTTGAAGAAGAGTGATTTTTGGAGAATGGTTCTGATTGTAAGATGAAATTTAAAAGTTAGTTTTAGAGAGAGGCATGTGTATAGGCTGACAGCGATTATTTGCTTTGTGCACAACCACTTCTACTAGAGAGACGCGGGAGAGAGAGAGAGAGGCCGGCAGTAAAATATACACCTAGGAAATAACGTATGCATCTCTTCCAACTAGTCAAGTACCCACATATTTTGTCCCAATTTTATTTTTGTTAGTTGCAAAATAATAATAATAATAAATTAGTTGATTTGGAGCTTCGAACCAAAGTGAAACTATCTAAATTGTTCACCTGAGCTTCGCTACAATGACAAGTTGAATGACACATTTAAAAACAGGGAGGACACTGTTTGAAAGATTAAAAAAAAAACACAATACCCAATCAATTGTTGCCACCCACCCTTTCACCCAATTTTCTGTCAATTGCCCTGGCCAAGCAACATTATTCTTGGTCACCCATTGACTGAGTAATGTAATGTAGTATTATGGGTGCTTAACATGAATTTAGGTGGCAATGAGTTTATTGATTTATCATTTAATGAATTCCGGAATGTATTTTTATTCGTTTGATAATGAATTAGTGACTCTACTTCATCCAGACGGCTGTTAAAGTATCAATAACGCTACATTGTATTATTGTAACTTATTTTAGTTTAACTTGTTATCGTTTGTCTTAACATTCTCATTTTTTTTATATAAAATTTTATAAACAATTCATCTTTTAATGATTCCACACTATGGACCATGACAGGTTCAATAACGTCCCCTTACGGTATGTTTCCAATCGCAAAAAAAATATGTAGCATGCTCTATTTTATCAAGAATAATGCTAAGTGTACATAAAAACGAGTGGTCACGACCTCATGTGAGGGTATGGACACCACTATGTATCAGTTTTTATGTACACCAAGCATCACCCTTTTATCAAACTCACTCACATCATTTTCAAATCACCATTCTTTATTAACAATCAAACCTAATTACATAATATATCCAATTTTAAGAGAACGTGAACTGATTATCACACTTATTCATGCTACTACTGAAAGGATTGAATGACATTTTCTACTCGATTTAAAACACAGATCTTCATGTATTCATAAAATTTTAATGTAGCGTCTAAAACTCGTCTAACCTCATCGATTAAAATTATGTTACCACCGAATAACATACGCTAAAGATATCATCTAGAATATATGTTGACGATTAATTTATGTATAAAGCGAGATGAATAAGAATTTAAGATAGAACCATAGGTTGAATGACAACCAAAATTACTTTAATGTAAAAGCCTTTTCAATCAAATTCTCCCTATCAATGTTCTCACTAATCTAGAAAGAAAAGTAATCCTTATCCTAGAAAATAGAAAAATATTAAACTCAAGTTACCCAAATCTTCATTAATATTTTTATAAAATCATGACAGTTTTTAGAAAGGTTACTGTCCTTAAAGTATGTTTGGCACAAAATTTTTCAAGAAAAAAATTATTTTTTTTGGAGAATATATGATTAAAAAGTGAAAAAAATAAAATTATGGGTCCCATAAATTGTGCAATTGAAAATAATTTTGAAAAAAATATTTTTAAATTAATCTTTGACAAACAAGTCTTTAGTAGTATATATTTACACCGAAAATTATGACTATTATTATCCCCGTAACTATAGCAATAAATAGAACGAAGTGTAAAAAAGACTTCTATAGTCGATTTTAAATCTATTGAAAATATAATTAATCTTCTTGTTATTTTATTTTAATAAGAATTAAGTTTAGACACACACAAAACGCCTTCACCAGTAAATTCTTTACTTTTTTTTCTTAGGGCAAGTGAGAAGACAAAAACTAGGAAAAAAAAAAGTATTGAACTTGACGCCGTGATTAAATAAACCGAAAAGGATGTTTGGTTAAGACCTTAATGATGTCTTGATGAAGATTGTATTGTGGACAAAATAATTGATTTTTATGTAATAACTAGGTGCAAGCAACGTGCAATGCACGTTTACTTAGTTTATATTTAATATTTTTGTTTAATAATTAATTTGTTATTAATAAAGATGTAATTTTTTTTGGTTAATTAAGGGCGTGTCTGGGCGCGCTGCAAGGAGGAAGGAAAATTGATTATGTTACCGTTTTTTTTTCAAACCTACAGCCCTACAGTGAGAGAATT